CTCTGTGGCACAGCAGTAGCTGCTGTTAACACAGAAATCTCGAGGCCCTGCTCTCTCTTCTTTCAGAGAACTGTCCTGTAGGGGCAGAAGAGCAGGGGCCGGCTGGAGGATTGAAGTGATGCTGCTCCAGGGAACACAGATGCTTTCCACCACCAGAGCATCTGTCCCTTATATTTGCTTAATTGCAGAAGTGGTTCTGACACCAAGCAACAGGCAGACTAAATATTTTATTTTGAATGGGCTTAGAGTTGCTATTTTTGACAGATTAAATAACAGAGCCCTTCTTAATTAAAATGAGTGAAATAAAAAGTGTTGGTATTTGTATATGAACATCTGCAGTAGCATTGTTCTTTATAGTTATTGTATACTGTGTGACTGTGTATTTGGCCAGTGCTGATTCTGAGATTAAAAATTATGTAGAGTATTTGACTCAATGGATTATCTTTCTTTCCTGAGGACTGGAAAGCCTTTTTAAATATAAAGAGCAGTAAAATTTGTTGTTCCTTTTCTGTATCTGTTTTCACAGGATATTTGCTACTATTTGGGTAGCATTCATGAGAAGTTGCCAAGGCAATCAGAGCCAGTGCAGGTGCATTCCACAGCAAGTGAGGGATTGTGACATATGGGGGGTGGTTTCTGAGTTGGGGAAACCCCAGGGAAGTCCGGAGACACGCCAGGAACTGGCTGTGTGATGTGGGTGGGACAGCTGTAATGGCAAACACCCACCCCCACAAAAAGCAGCCCTAAGGAGTGTGACTGACCAGTTTCTTGGTCCTGTCTAATGCGTTCCATCCCAAATAAGCATTGTATTAAGCAATACTTGGAATTCTCGTTAACAATGTTTCATGATTTACAAATGACCCAGCTTAATGACAATTATGTGCGAAATTAAGATGAAAAGTTCTCAAGATGCTGAGTCATACAAATCTGAGAGCTACTTTTGACTAAGCACAGGTAGGTTTTTTTTTCTGGAAAAGGTGTAGTAAAAAGTCAAGATAGTGTTTTTGCCTCTTGAAAAAGACAAAATGAAAATGCAGAAAATAACTAAAGTTTGTCTTTCATCTCTTCAGCTGGTCTTAACAGAACTCAAACTATCTGATCATCAAAGCTGTAGCATCACAAAGGATTTAGCAGAGGGTCATGTAAGAGAAGAAACTTCTAAATATCTGCAAAAATGAGCAGCTCAAAGTCACAAGTAAAGGGAAGGTAGTGTTGTGCAGAGAATTGTGTTTAACCTGTGAATGAAAAACGTCATTTTCTCTATGTTACAGTTTGAGAAATGAAGTTCTATCACAGACCAGAATCCATTTTTTATATACTTTTCCCTGCTGACTTAGACATGAAGAATCATGAGACTCCGATTAGAAACAGTTCTTGTGATGTTTTGTGAATTTATACATTTATTAGCTTGTCTTTTATCTTTCCAGGGACAAATTCTGGGTTGTTCAGGTCTTCACTCAATACAGACAAATAACAGACTGATTCCTGAGGGTGTGGCTGGATGGAGTCTAAGATACCTCTGGTGTAGGTTTGGAATGGCTTTGTGGTGCTGCCTTGGGGCTGCAAGAGAACGAGTTGTGGCCTCATGGGCTCTGCTTAGCAGTTCCTGATGAGAGAGGTAGGACATGCTAAACAGCAGAAGAGAGTGTCTCCAAACATCCAGGATTTAAGATAACAGCAGCTCATTATGCTTCCTCTCTACAAGGTTTTGGTTGTGATCCTGTCTGTCATGAGGGAACCACCACCAGTGACTAAAACCTGCTCAGGCTTCTGGTCCATGTGGTTCACAACCTCTCATAATGTATAATATGCTGGATGATAGGCATAAAGTTGGTGAGTTTGGTCAAAGCTTATAGTGCAAGAAAGTGTTGTGGAAAGGGGCAGAAGGGAAGATGCATCTGTTTTGGACCTTGCCAAGTTTTTGAGAACCAGATTAGTCTTCTGTTGACAAATGGGCCTGTAGCGTGGATTCGGTTTGCCATGAGTGATTTGGTTTGACAAATTCATGACCAAACTCAGTCCTGGTAATTAAAGATTATTATAAAGATGCAGTCTAAGAAATTGCCTATTTTTTGAGAGGTTTCTGGCAGTAAAAGTTCTCTTTCAGCCTCTCCCTTTTTATCCCTCCCCAGTAGCACTGGGGATTTTGAATAATCGCTGGCAGTGATAAGCACAGTAGTGACTTTTGTGGACCTACCTAATAATTTTAACTATTCAGTATGCTATTGGTCTAGACCGTGTTTATTTGCACTCTTAAGGAGTACGCAGTAGGTTGTAAAATGTGTGTTATTGCAGCTGAATAGGTGTCCAGAGCACATAATAATTCAATACAGCAAGTTAGAATTAGAAGTGAAATATAAAACTGTATTTCCTTTGTGAACTAGAGACAGAAATTACATTTCTTAATGCCTGGTACAGAGAAGAGTCAGTCCTCTCTTGCCCTTCACCTTGTAGCCTTTCTCCTTCTGTAATGAGGAGAGGTCCTGCCAGCAATATGGGGAATAGTTTGATGGTGTAGCTCTTTCTCAATAATGTGCTTTGCAGAATAAAGGGCAAACTATACCGGGCTAGGTGTAGCAGGGCAGCTCACACTGGTTTATCCAATACAAGTTACGTCAAGTTAAATGAAATCCTCATCTTTTTTTCTTAATCTCCAGGACACTGTACTTTCACAAGAAACGAACTGAACTCTAACCCAAAAAAACTCAGTTTCTAATAACTCCAAAAGCACGTATTGAATATCTTGCTGTGTTCCAGTATCATAGGTCAAAAATACAACTGAGTACTAATTATGCTGTTTAATGAAACCATTTTGAAAGTCTATTTCTAACCTTCTTTGTTGGTCTCGCATTTTCTTATTCTATTAGCGGCCTGTTTTCTGCTCCCTTCCCTCCCTATTTGACATTTCAGAATGAATAACAAAGCCATTTTCTAAATGCATCTGCATTTCCTCAAGGAAATCAGGACTTGAGCACACACATAGGTCTTTGCATGCATGCCAACAAAGCATGAATAAAAATAAACCTGCCTTTGCTTGCCTACATGCCAAAGTCTGATCTTCCATGCTTTGAACTCTTGCTCCAAAATGCAAATACATAATTCAAGAGGACTGAGGCAGAATAGTCTTGAGCATAACTTCTGGGTATATGCTTCCTATAGCAAAATACTCAGATTTGAATTATGGTTTTAAACTTCCTCTGCCCCAGGAGAGGTGGTTCCACAGAAAGAGGTCAAGGAAAATCAGGGTGCCTAGTGGCTGGGGGAGTCTGCCTTGGTCAGCAGACAAGTGCTGAGGATTGCTTTCTTTCTGGAGAATGTTTCAGGTAAAGTAAGAACATTAACCATGAGAATTTCAGATATGAAGGTGACATAAGTAGGAAAAAAAACCTTTGTGTGTCTCAAGAGACTATATGCAAAAGAGAGAACTGTCCTTCCAAAGTAAACTGTTCTGTGTATGTACCAAAGTGGAGCTTGTAGAAAAGTCAGTCAGGTTCAGGTACGGACAGTTGAGATGGTAGGTAAGCAAATGTTTTGGGATAAGTGGGCTTGACTATTGTTCACGTCTAATTGCATCTAATATGCCTCATTTATTGGTTTTTTCTTGCCTAGGTGCTCATAATTCTTTTGAGGAAAATTGTCAACCATAGTGTTGCATGTAACTGAGTTAATTTATTAAGAACAAAAAAAGAAATTCCAAGGTAAAGGTGGTAGCAATCAAGTAATTTTGAGTCTCATTACATTGAGGAAGTGCAGCCCATCATGTCACAGAAGAATTATGTCTATGAGTCTAAATGTATTATACTATTGCCTACGTGCATATTTGGTTTCCCTTCCTCACAGATACAGACAAGGCTGCTGTATAAAAAGAAAGGCATACAGACTCGTAGCCTGTGACTGCTGGTGTACAATTTTTTTTCCCTCTGCTGAGTATTGGTCCTGTTTGGAAATGTCATGGGAAATATTCTTCACTTTATTTTACAACCCTCAGTAGCTGAAGAAAATGAGATATTATTGCTGTAGAAAAAAAATCCTGCCACAATTATTTAGCCATGAGCATGCATTCAGATTTTGATAGGCCACTATTATAGCACAGATTTGCTGACAGCTATGGCTACTGGAAGAAGCCTTGCTCACCCTTAAATTACCAGCTAAATTTTCCAGCTTCCACGGAACCAGAAATTCAATCAGTCACTGCTGCCAACTCTGTAAGGTATTACCAAAGTGATGCTGGAAATGATGCAGAGGTATTTTTCAGGGATAGCTTAGAAATATATTTTTTAAATACTGTGTTTCAAAATTATGTGAATTAGTCAGGTGTGTCTTCTGGAATTCTTGTAGCATTTATACAGAGGCCTTAATACTTTTGTGATTCACTCTTCACTGACTTCTCAGAAAAGTCATAAAATACTTGAAAACTTTTATGAAGGACATTTTTATAACACACAAAGCAAAATCTTTCTACAATCTCCAGAATTTGAAAACAATTAATTTAATGCATTGATTTTTTTTTTTTAATGGAGACATGTTTCTGTATAAAAGTTAGACTTCACAGTTAGGGTCTTACAGCTCCTACAGCTTAGAAAAGATTTTCAAAGGTTCTAATGTCTTTGGTGCCTTAGACAATGTTTTCTCAATTAGTTGATTTGAATTTGGCCTACATTATGCAGACCTTGGTACATTTTACTTCTTTCTTACTTTACTTAACTGGTTTTTGTCTTTAGTGAAAAGTACAGAATGAAGAACCAGAGCGATATACTCCAGCTAATTTTGCAACATGCTTAATACTAGATACTAAATTTATTTTCACTAAGCATACAGCTGACTGCTTTCTTTCTTAAATTAAAAGATTTGTTTGCACACTTAATTTTTTTTAGTCTGTTTTCATCAGTGGGAAAGTGCTGATATAATACTAGTTGACCATTAGAAGACAGATAAAATAGAATGATGCATCTTCATTACTATCGTATTCTCTCTGAACTATTTTTTCTTCTTCCTTCCAGGACGGTTCTGTTTACTCTGACCTCTGTAGTTGTGCTTGTCATCACTACTGACTGGATCAGCTGGGACAAGCTGAATCGTGGATTTCTGCCAAGTGATGAGGTCTCAAGAGCCTTCTTGGCTTCTTTCATCTTGGTGTTTGACCTTCTTATTGTCATGCAGGTACACTCTCTTAATGTTCCACTCAGGCTGTTGAGGCTGCCTAGTCACTCTATTTCTTCTAGAGCAAATGGTGTTTAGCTAAGGCTACAAAAAGGTAAATAAATATTAACTTTGCAATCACTACGAGTAATAGCATTTTATAACATCATTCTCAGTAATTTCGCAGAAAAGGCCTCTGGCCTTTGATTGTGAAAATATTGCTGATTTCTTTTCTTAGAGTGCTAGATAAGAACTGCATGAATTTCCAAATTAGAAAGTTACAAAAATTACATCAGGAAAAGAAACAGAAGCTGGTTGTTTTGTAAATTCAAATCTTCTCTTAGGAAGATGAGATATATTCAGACAAGCAAGAAAGAAATACTTCCAAATTTCAAGCATTTACAATATTAGGTATACACACACTAAAATACTTTAATAGATGAAAATTAGTATTTGCTATTAAGATTCAGCTTTCCACTTCTATGTGATTTTTTTTTTAACTTGATGACAGGTCCTTGTAGTGTAATGACTTCTGCCTGAAAGTAAAGACTTCTGACTTCTTAACTGGGGAGATGATTCATTGTAATCTGCCTGATGTCTGCTCCTTTGAATCTTCCTGCTAAGAAAGCAGTCTGTGTCACAATTATGTGGCCAAAAACCTTCTTCATGTGATGCTGTGCTCTCCTCTTTGCATCTGCATGTGGTTTGAGCCCTGTGTGAATAATTCACCCACAGCTCAGTGATAAATTATGTCATTTGGGCTGAGGTAAGGAAGAGGAGTATGGAAGGCCCATGACTGCTCTTAGTTCTAGATATGTTAGGCTGCTGAACTGAAAGTCAGCAAAGAACATGAGAAGAACGAATGGATCCATCCTCTCCAATATATTATAAATTCTGCCAGCAGAGAGCATTTCTGAGACACTCAGTTCTCTTAAAAAAGCTATCTATTACTTGAGTAATTATCATTGAGGTGACATTGATGGCACTCAGATTTTATCACTGCTCTACTAGAACTTGCAAGGTGCATAGAGTCCTGTAGTTGAGTTTTGTTTTCCAATGTCCACTACTGTTAAGTGCTCACTGTCGTTCATGTTTAGAACTGGGAGGATAAGAAAGGAAATACTGTTTTTCTCATAATACTGCTTTTCTTGTAAGATTTCTGTTGCTTTGCTTTCTCTACCTTTGAATTTTACATTTTGTTTGATGTTTCAAAAAGATTCAAGAGAATGCATAATAAATTATTGTACTTTATAGAGCTGTAATGAAAGTATGAATGAAAATGTAGCAAGCTATACTGAATTTGATATTGCATGCAGGCTAGAAAAACAGAGCTGTCTTCATATAAAATAACTATTAAACCATCCTTTTGGATTTGAAAAATGAAATCCCAGTATTTTGATCTTGGAGTTGCTGAATATAGAGAAAAATCTTATGTGAAACAGCTTGTCCTGAGTACTCTTTCATATTTTTATAACACAAAGCAAGAGGCTCTTTTTAATTGCATTTCTAAGTGATATTTGTATGACGGAGTTATTTGTTTACTTGAAGTTATTTATTTGGACTGTGAAAATATGCTGGCATATTTTATTTAAAGAGTAGTTTTAGCATTGCTACTGCAATAATCCTATGTTGAGAGAGCAAAGTATTCAATCACATGGAATCACAGAATGGGCCAGGTTGGAAGGGACCAGAGTGGGTCATCTGGTCCAACCTCCCTGCTCAAGCAGAGTCATCCTAGAGTACATTGCACAGAGTTTGGTCCAGACAGTTCTTGAATATCTCCGGTGAGGGAGACTCCACAACCTCTCTGGGCAATCTGTTCCAGAGCATGGTCACCTGCACAGTAAGAATTTCTTCCTCATTTTCAGGTAGAATTCCCTGTGCATCAGTTTCTGCCCATTGCCTCTTGTCCTATTGCTTGGAACCACCAAGAAGAGCCCAGCTCTATCCTTTTGACACCTTCCTTTCAGATACTGACAGAGACTGATAAGGTCATCTCTCACATATGAACCTAGCAATAAGGGCAGGTGACCAGTGACAGGTTTTTCAGATGAGTCAGGGTAGATGGAACTTTGCCCTTAATAAAACTGATGACAGATCCAGCTCCATTTCTGAGGCAGGTTTTACAGGGAGGAGCCATACACCCTGGACTACTTTTGTCAGAATTATGTGGAGTGTTTCATTCCACTCAGAGTATATTGCTCTTCCTAGCAGATTTTAGACACGCCTGTCAAACAGCATTACAGAAATGGATAACCATTTTGAAGACACACTTGTACTCAGCTAATTGTGCAATGTTTGCCCAAGAATCCTGCTGTGAGGGCTGGCTCTGTTGTAGTGTATCCCCCATGGCCTGCAGATCTCTGAAGGAGAAGGGACAGGTTCAAGTGAGGTGACTTTGGGAGAAACCTTTCTGTAGCAAGTAATGGATTTTCCTTCCTGCAGTCTCTCACACAGTAAAGACTTCCCCCTCTTCTTGTGTCCTTTCTACATCCTCATCTATCTATGGATTGTGGAAGTGTTCCTTATCAGTACTGATGTAAACCATTCGAAAATAATCCTGAAAATAAAAGTGAATTAAAGGAGTGGAAAGGACAGTTTTGACCTAAAGCTTCACTTTGTACTTATAATGAAATTCAAGTGACATACCTGAGTATATTCCTAAATACCATTTGCAAAAAGAAGTATAATGTTTCTCATGCCATTATTGGCACCATGGCATTTCTTTGTAGTGGGTCAGATGTGAATCTTTCTTTCCTATACTAGATTTCTTTTCTTGAATCTGCCTCTACAGCTGCTACTTATGGATTTATAGCTTCATTGAATTCCTCACTCCCAAAGTGCTGGGTTTTTTTTTCCCTGAGTGTCACTGCTTTGAATGATATCAAGTCTCTTTCCTTTCAATTTTGAGCATAGAGCACTAGCTCTCCTGAGCTCCACTTTCATCCATCAGGCATCTGTTTTCTCTTAATTTTCCTGTCTCATCTCTCTGCGACTGGTAACAAGGGAGTGAGTTATTGTGTGCTAAGAGGGACTAGTCAGTGTGGTCCCAGAAATGGCCAGCTCAGGAACAAGCACATAGAAATGGAGTGTCCTACAGAGTGAAATGTCCCTGCCCGTCTCCTGGCAGGGAAGTAAAGCTCTGAGTAACCAGGGCATGGAGCCTCCTTCACTTTGTTGTTTACTGAGGATAGGGTAAAAACAATGGAAATGTATTATATTTACAGATCAGAGAATGAAATAATGCTTTGGCAATCCAATGGTTTTATTTTAAAGGAAAAAACTTTAATGAAAGTGTAGGTAATGTTTACGTAAAAGGGTGATGAGGGGCAAAAAGCATTGATATATGTAATTAAAACCCAGAAGCTTCTGTTGAAATATTTTCAAGATCCAGAAGGAGATATGAATTCCTTCTAAAAATCCTTGAAATATTCTTTTGCCCCCCTGCCAGACCCCACTATAAATTACAGTTTATTTCTTCAAGTCATTCAGTTACTTTGGGACTAAGAAAATTATAAGCAAAATCATTTTCTGCTGAGAAAAGTTGGGTGTATTTTGTCCCTTATTGCACATTATATACCTTACCATTTTAACGAGCTGTCTGGTGTTTCTTGCAGTGTTACCATTCTGTGCTTGTCTAGTTTGATATCTGGCACCATCATTTTATGCTGTGGATTTTATTAAACAAGACATGTAAAGCACAGTATTTTTAAGTACATTTCATCTTTTATACTGATTGCAGATGGTTAAATCTTGCTCGGATGCATTATATTTATCTCAGGCATTATAAATCCAACTCCAGTGTTTTCTTTAGCTGCTGTAACTTGGTGTATTTGTGATGACCTGAATCCTCTTGTGCCAATTTATACTGGCTGAGGGCTGAGCCCTTTTTTTAGCTCTGTCACTTAGCTCCTCATTTGCAGAAGAGGAACAACTGTAGTTCTTTTCTTTCACTATTTGTGTGATTGTCTGCTTGAGCCCCCAAGGTGCTCAGTGAAGGAGGCTGACTTGGTACAGCTTCTAGTGTAATCAGGCTCCAGTCCCAGCTGGAGCCTCATGGCTCTGAGATGACTACACACAAAATGAATTAGCTGGAAAAGCTTCTCATTTGTCACAGTCATTCCCTTTTACCCTGACAACGGGTACATGCCATACATGTGACACTCAGGCCCTTCTTTCCCAGTGCAGGTGTTTGCCTGAAATAACAAAGCAGTTGTCTAAAAGTAGACCCAGCATTTTCACATACTTGCCCTGGAAACCAACATATCCAGCCCAAATTCACAGAAAAACATGCACTCATAGGAACAAGAAAATCTGGGAATTATTTGCAAATCTTTCACAGGAATATTTTCATCTTTAATAGCAAGGAGAGCCTTTTCATAGATTCTGCTGTAATCAGTGTGTGATAGGCCTTGTTATTGCTGGGTGTATGTGTAAGAAATGTTGCATTGCTTAAGAGTATATTGGAGTGATTTATGTTGGTATAACAGTGATGGTGACATTCAGATAATTTCAGCTCTCCACAGCAATGCTCTGGAATGTATTATTTGACTGTAGAAATCTGCTCCGTTATGAGCGTCACACAGGTTTTTATGTGAAAATAAAAATTCTGAGGTGAGGCTGAACAGGTTCAGCTGCTTTCTAAGTGATAGAATTGCTTGCAATTTTTAAATGCAAGCAATGAATTAAAAAGAGACAGATAAACCTCAGTTTGCCATCATTAGACAGAGCACTGCCTTGGCAACAAGTTTTATGCCCATCCATATCTTACCTTTAGCTACGTGGCATATTGAACATACAAGACTTACAGACAGGTTGTACAGAGCATACAGATCCACCTATCAATAATACTGAGTTCAAGGAAGAAGAGGGAGCAAGAACAGCTTGGTTGCTCTTAATCAAACCTTAGAGGGGAAAAGAAACAAGAATATGCTTGAGATTGTTAGTCTAGCTGAGTTATTTCTGCAAAGCTGATTGAATGGCATATGTTTATACTTCCTCAAAAAGTCTGAAGCCTGTAA